CCTCACCCTTAGACGATCATCTACTCGTTTGGCATCAACATCAGGGAGTACACGTGGGGCTCAGAAATGACCACCGCCAAGACGCTGATGGCGATGATTTTTGGGGCGCCGATTATGAGCGTCGTGGCGGGTAAGTTTAGGAGTTTCTTAATAAGCCCTGCTGACCACTCTTTGTGGTAAATCGTTTTAGCGTCCATGGTGCATGTTGTGCGCTGGGTGTCGAACATGATTTTGGCGCATCTGATTTTTCTGAACTATCGCAAGAACCTCAAGAAGAAGCAGCTGAAAGCGAAACACGGGCTGTTTTTCCAATTGGAACGATGGCATAGTTGGAGTTATTTGATGCAGGAAACGCTGGTTTTTTTCATTACCGTATCGTTGGCTGTGCTGATGGCTGCTTTTGGTGGGTTAGACTGAAAGTAGTTCAACGACTGATTGGGCGCATAGTTCGCAGCTAGACCGAAAGAGAGAGAGAGAGGAGAGAAAGAGAGAGGAGAGAGAGAGAGAGAGAGAGAGGGGGGGGAGAAAGAGACAGGGGAGAGATAGAGAGAGCGAGACAGAAAGAGGTACTTATAGTGAGAGAGAGCAAGAGACAGACAACTACTACTATCCGAGGCTTAAAAAATATTCTAGGTGGCTACGTGTTGATGAAAGAAAATGACTGGTCTTTGGACCATACCGTACGCTACTCGTTTTCGTTGCTAATCGGAACTGGAGGTCAAGAACTTGCACCAGACTATCTGACCAATAAAACCGTAATTTATAATTCTATAAAATTTTTCCAAACATTTCAGATTGATTACCCGCGAGCAATTCACGTCACAAATATCCTCCTATGGTTTTCAACTTCCCTGGCCTTCATTTTTGGCGGAATTATGCAACTCGTGGATATGACCTGCACTGTGCTTCATCGAGTGGTACGATTTTTTGATAGCTCGAGACTAAAAACCAGTGCTTTTTTGAGTCATCGGCAAAAACTTACGAGACCTAGCTCATTTGATAAAGAATTGAATTCTGAACGAGGTACCAGTGTTTATTTTTCCGCTCTTACAAAATTAAGAAACTAGTGGACGTCTCTTGCCATAAGTGTCTTAGAGCGAAAAGCGACACCTTCCGGGTGCAGCTTTAAAATTTTATAAAATCAGGGACAGCCATTCGGCCAGGCCGGACATCGGAGCCTGCTTCAGAATTAAATTCTCTATCGAATGAGCTAATGTAAGTCTTGAGCCGTTTTGCCGATGCTTCAAAAAACACTCCTTGTAAGGCGTTCAGAAGGGACCAGAGAATCCATCAGGGTATGAAAAGTACTTTGCAGGGTGAAATCGACAAAGACGAAATCGCCTATTTCCGAAAGCTACGCCAAGCAAAGCGAGAGTTGAAATATGTAAAGTAACTTGTGTGATTGGATTTATTTTGCGCCTTGGCTGGATAAATTGTTAATACAAATCTAGCTTTTAGAGATCGTTATTCCTTATTAATGTCGAATTCGTGTTGAAGTCGAAAAATCGGTCCCATCGAAATTATTTTGGGCAACGATTGCAGGTGCGTGGGCACTGCTCGGTCATCAGCTGGTAGTAGGCCTGAAACTCCTAAATTTAGATGTCAATTTGTTTTACCGGGTTGTCACAGTAGGCCTTTCGTTGCGGACAGTCCGAGTATCCGGTTTTCGGGTTAATCAGGTCCTGGCAGGTATTAGGGGCTGGAAAGAGTACGGTAGCTTGGTCAACGTATAAAAACTGATACCTGGTCCCGGACCACCGCAATATCCACAGGTTTTCGGGCATTGGTCTTCCATCACGTCGTGGTAGGCCTAAAATTGGGTATTTTTCATGGTATATTTAGCTTTAAAATATCGCTACGTGGTTAAACTTCACAGATGGTTAAAAGGCCGTCCGCGAGTCACTCGAACAGTCCCCATTATAGCTTGGCACAGTTTTTTTCGACCCCCATTTTTGATGCCATCTGATAGAGCGTGGTCGAATTAGAGGAATCGCACTAATTTGGGATTTTTAAATTAGCATTTTCCTGGTTAAACAAGGCGTTAAAGTTGCCAACGTCCAAAATTTATCTCGACGACTACTTGATAGAATTGGCTGAAACTTTGTGACTAGGCCTAATTTGGGATGGTGATCATTTTTCTAATAGATCGCGAAGCACGAAAATTAGCAGAACCTAGTTAAATTGCATACCCAAAACAGTTTTTGCCAAATTTCAAATTAACGGCGAGTCGGCCGCAAGCTGGAATTAGGCTAGAAAGATGCGCAAAATTTTTCTGCATCGATTGATGTATTATTTAGGTGGCGGCCAGGTCGCCGTTTTCTTACAGCGAGCTTTTTATAACTGAAAAATGGTCTGAAAATCTGACTAAAATCAAAAATTTTGCGATTTTCTATGTTTTGACCCACGGGATCACATTTAACGATCACGCCAAGCTAAACGCAAAAATTAGCAAAAAGAAATTCGACATTTGAAGGGGTGCTTGTTTTGGGCCGGAATCGAACCCGGACCCTCCGCCTGGGAGCCCTGTGGCGCAGTGAGTAGAGCGTCGGCGTGCCAATCCAGAGCCGCCGCCAGTTCAATCCCAGCTCACTCTCAGAAGCCGAATTTCTTTTTGCTCTTTTTTGCAATCGACTTGGCATGATTTCTTGATGCGTTTTGACTACTCCGATATGTAAATACCACAATATTTTCCATTTTAGTCAGATTTTCAGACCATTTTTCAGTTATAAAAAGCTCGCTGTAAGAAAACGGCGACCTGGCCGCCACCTAAATAATACATCAATCGATGCAGAAAAATTTTGCGCATCTTTCTAGCCTAATTCCAGCTTGCGGCCGACTCGCCGTTAATTTGAAATTTGGCAAAAACTGTTTTGGGTATGCAATTTAACTAGGTTCTGCTAATTTTCGTGCTTCGCGATCTATTAGAAAATGATCACCATCCCAAATTAGGCCTAGTCACAAAGTTTCAGCCAATTCTATCAAGGAGTCGTCGAGATAAATTTTGGACGTTGGCAACTTTAACGCCTTGTTTAACCAGGAAAATGCTAATTTAAAAATCCCAAATTAGTGCGATTCCTCTAATTCGACCACGCTCTATCAGATGGCATCAAAAAATGGGGGTCGAAAAAAACTGTGCCAAGCCTTGTCCGGGTCTCTCGCAAACGGCCTTTTAATTCCAACGTGTAAAT